AACTTCTGGACCTTAGGAAACCAATTTGACATAACCCATATAATCCACAATTTGATACTCAAATTTATTAGGGATTCCTATACCGTGAACCTCAAGCGCTGGCACTCAATAAAGAATGCACCTTTTCAGCAAACAATTGTTGTGGCCTTAATAAATCATGACCCAATCCACTTGATTGTTGTTGGAATATAGGAAAGAGAAGGAGAGTGAGAAATTAAACCCATGTTTTTCCGGAATAAGAACCTGTAGAAATTTGATACCACCTTTCACCTAAATATCACCCAAATGTGATCATTTTTGGTAAGGGTGACTGGGACAAGACATCAGTGTGGATTGAAACTATGATGCACAGGGATGTTGAGGACAAGGGGCATCATAAGGTTTCATGCTAGGCGAGGAATTAGTCGGTTAGGTCAAGTATAGTAGTTGCACACCAACAAAAAGTTGTCAAAATTTAAATATGAATATCAACTAACCCTGGGACTTTAGTGTTGCCGAACTGCGAAATTGTCTGCTCGATTCAAGCTGAATGACTCATTGTAAAAGAAATGGGTTGATGTCCATCAACTAACATAGCAAAAACAATTGGAGGCAAAGAACCACATAGTCTAAGGGTTCCAAAGTCTCTTGTAAAAGATAAGAGACTTGCTTTCATATCGTAACTCCCATAAAGTTAATAGAGCAGGGAAACGATGGGTGAGCAATGTTTAACTTGCAAAACGTTTTCACCTCCATACGCAATAAGTTAACTTTTCCACCCAGAGCACAAGTATATGCCACTCAAGGAGTCTAAACTAAGTGGGCGTTTGGACATAAGAATTGTAAAATTCCAAAAAAGGGTGAAAAAAATTTTCAAGTGAAAATGATATTTGATATTTGATATTTAGACAAGAGGGGTTGCTCTGATGGTAAGCAACCCCCACTTCCAACCGAGAGGTTGTGAGTTCGAGTCCCCCCAAGAGCAAGGTGGGAAGTTCTTGGAGGGAAGGATGTCGGGGGTCTATTTGGAAACAGTCTCTCTACCCTAGGGTAGGGGTAAGGTCTGCGTACACACTACCCTCCCCAGACCCCACTAAGTGGGATTATACTGGGTTGTTGTTGTTGTTGTTGAGTTGTGTTTGGACATGAATATAATTTTGGGTTGTTTTTGAAGTTTCGTGAGTGATTTGAGTGAATTTTGAAAAACAGGTTTTTGGAGTTTTTCAAATTTTCGAAAATTTCCAAAATGCATCTTCAAGTGAAAATTGAAAATTTTATGAACAAACGCCGATTTCGGAAAAAAGTGAATCTTTTGGAAAAAAGGAAAAAATTTCTTATGTCCAAACGGGCTCTAAGTAGGTATGCTATATCCTGATGAGCGAAATGAGAAATTCTGAAACTGTAAGCATAGGATTACAAACAAAAACATCTTAAATTACATCATATACAATAACTCACTTCAAGGGAGATTGAATCCTCTGGTGATGAAGCCAGTGTTGCCTCAATCTGCTGAAGCGTCTTCTGCAAAAGCATCAAATCTGATGATATTTCAACAATATATAGGGAAATAGATAAGGAAAATATCATCTAATAACAGAGCACACATATAGGCGTCCATGAAATTATACAAAATTGAGTGAATTTAACATATTACTAACAGTTTTTTTTCCTAAAGAGCTTCTATATGTAGAAATTGCTAGCATAGCACATTTTTATATCCTAAAAATTCATTTAACTCCATTTGGACCTGTTTCGTACTTTCATCCAATACCTAGTATTCAGGAAAACGCACACAACAGAGAAAACAAAAAACTGTGTATTGAAGAATGTGCATATAGAGAAAAGTTGTGCCTAAAAAACTGTGTATTGAAGAATGTGCATATAGAGAAAAGTTGTGCCTACTGACTAGCAATGAATACTACAGACAAAAGCCCATTAGATAGATGACAGGGATTGGCAATAGACGCCTTCACTGATATTGCCTATTCTTTCTGCAGCAATTCAACTGAACTCAAAAGTATGTCTTTCCTTTCTTATAGTTGTACTTGTACACTAGAAAAAAAATTAATTTTAATGTGACAGCAATCATTTTACCAGGAGGTTAGCTCTCTCATCTTCAGCAATTCTCTTATCAGTGCTGGCAATCTCCTCAGTGGGACTAACACTGCACCAATGGCTTCATTAGGATTACGTTAAGGAAAAAACTGAAAAGAAATAAGCAACAAGCAAGTCATGAAACTTTGTAACCTCTTGATTGAGTAGAAAAGAAAACCAGGATGCAAATGATGAGATCTATTTGATAACTAATAGCCAGCATAGTTGGAAGCACCACAATCTACCTTCCAGAAGGAAGAAAGTCACCAAGTGCAAATACGAGTCCAAATACAATAACAGCTGCTCCAACTCCAATCTATTAAATTCCACATGAATCTATTAGTGGCCATATGAAGAAAGAACTCAGATTGGATCAACATGGAGATGTGTCAGCTCCATTATAGTACTACCTTGGTACCCAATCCGATTGTAGTACTTTCGGACTCGACCGGAGCATCATAGTCAATTGCTCCGTATGCTTTCTCTTCCTCTGCTTTTTTCTGCTTTAGTGCCAACCTACCAGTTAGTGGAAATGCCAGTCAATGAAACACATTTTAATCAATGAAGAAGAAAAGAGAAAAAAGGATAATGTCATCAACAAATTAGTGACATAGTCCACAAAAATGGAAATAAAAAATCTAAATGAAGGAATTAGACATCAATATTTGACACAGCATAGATTTAGCATAGTCAACAATGTAGAAGCAGCTTACTTTATAAGAACAAAGAATATCCCAAAGTAGCCTAGAACATAACGCAGAAGTTGAAATTGACATCAATTAGCCCCGGAATCTGAGGTCTAAATCTAAGTTGCTCCGACATGGCAGTTAGGTGCCGCACCCGTGTCGACACGACACTAGTATGGGTGTGGGTATGGGATCCGTATTGGATCTGGTCAAACAATTTTGGGCACTTTGACCACGACGGACGGAAAAATTTGAGACTGATATACAATTTGATTCCCGAAATCAAAACCAAAATTAGGGTAAATTTGAAGAAAATAGCATACCTTATCTAGGAAATCTATCCTGAGAATAAAAAAGAAAGCCACATTTTACAAGCTATACATAAGTATTCCCCAAAATTTCTCATAATTTAGAAATACTTTATATTTTTATTTTTTGAATTATTTTTAGCCGGATCCTTGCACCCGTATCCGTATCCCTGAATCTTAGAATTTACATCTCGAAGGATCCGACCTCTAGATCCGCACCCATGTCGGACACCTACACCGGTGTCCTAGCAACTTAGGTCTAAATACTTGATCGCGACACTTGTAACCAGTGATCATTCAGTCAGTCTCTAGCTTGGAATGCAAGCAAGTTCGGTTTCATGCCAGGGCGGTCGACTAAAGAAGCCATTCAACTGGTAAGGAGGTTGATGGAATAGTATAGGGAGACGAAGAATGACTTGCATATGGTGTTTATTGACTTAGAAAAAGCCTATGATAAAGTCCTTAGGGAGGTTTTATGGAGATGTTTGGAGATTAGTGGTGTCCCGGTAGCGTACAATTAGGGTGATTAAGGACATGTACAATGGAGCTAAGACTCGGGTGAGGACGGTGGGAGGTGACTCGGACTATTTCCCAGCAGAGATAGGGTTGCATCAAGGATCAGCTCTTAGCCCATTTTTATTTGCCCTGGCGATAGATGTGTTGACGCGATTCATTCAAGGAGAGGTGCCATGTTGTATGTTATTTGCAAATGACATAGTGCTGATTGATGAGACGCGTTGTGGGGTTAAATGCTAGGCTAGAGGTGTGGAGACAGACCCTGGAGTCTAAAGGTTTCAAGTTGAGCAGGACGAAGACAGAGCACTTGGAGTGTAAGTTCTGTGTTGGGGCTCATGAAGCAGAAGTGGAAGTGAAGCTGGATACACAAGTCATCCCCAGGAGAGATAGTTTCAAATATCTTGGGACTGTGATACAGGGTAACAGGGAGATCAACGAGAATGTCGCACACCGTATTGGAGCGGGATGGATGAAATGGAGGCTCGTTTCGGGTGTTTTGTGTGACAAGAATGTGCCACCTAAACTTAAGGGCAAGTTCTATAAAGCGGTAGTTAGACCGACCATGTTGTCTGGAGCCGAGTGTTGGCCAGTCAAGAAATCCCATGTTCAGAAGTTGAAAGTAGCGGAAATGAGGATATTGAGATGGATATGTGGGCATATCAGGAGAGATAAGATTAGGAATGAGTATATCAGGGACAAGGTGGGCGTGGCTTCGATAGAAGATAAGTTGCGGGAATCGGGGCTGAGATGGTTCAGGCATGTGAAGAGGAGAGACGGTTAAGAGGCGTGAGAGGTTGACAATGACAGGTCAGAGGAGAGGTAGAGGAAGGCCTAAGAAGTACTGGGGTGAGGTGATTACGCAGGACATGGCACTACTTCAGCTTACCGAGGAAATGACCCTTAATAGGAGGGTGTGGAGGTCGAGGATTAGGGTTGTGGGTTGACAAGCAGTCTAGAGTTTCGTCTAAGCATCCCAGTAGTATTAGTCCTAGTTTTGTATTTTTAGATGCCTAGCCCCTTGCTATTTCATCTTGTGTCATTATTTCCAGCAAGAATGAATCTATTTTTATAGTGTCGTATTCTTACATATCTGTTGTTGCACGTATTTCATTTGTTCCCATGTCTACTTACCTGGTTGTTGCTACTGTCTGTTTATTGCTTCATTTTCACTTCTTTTGAGCCGAGGGTCTTTCGAAAACAGCCTTTGTACCTTCATTAGGTAGGGGTAACGTCTGCGTACACTTCACCCTCCCCAAACACTACTTGTGGGATTTCACTGGGCTTGTTGTTGTTGTTGTTGTCGTCATCTTACTTGGAATGCAAAGTGGTGGTGACGCCTCTAGTAAGCATGGCCAAGCAGCTCGGAAATTATTTTTGTACTAGGTCATTGTACAAATGATAGCCGCTACCAGTACAAGGTGATTAATTGGTCAATAATGCTAAAAGAATCTCTCCTAGTCTATGATTACTTCCAACTTTTTCTTTTTTTGGGGTGGAGGGGTGGGGGTGGGTGAGCGGAGACTCTCTATTTGAATCTCATTTGTGACTGTCCATACAAGATGATAAGATGAAGAATAGGTACGAAGGCTACTGGCATGTCTGTAACATCAATGAGTACACCACGTTCAGCGATGAAACATCATCTCTTTTAGCAGCTTTCGTGCATCATCAAATTTTGGACTCCAATACAATATGAGCGGAAAACTGGCTAAGAAAATTCAGAATGGCAAGTTACTGCAATCATATATCTAAAATTCTTATAAGGAAGATAGCTACTGCAGATAAGCAGTGGGGTAGAAACCATTCTAAATAGTAGTAGCACCTTTTTACTGCTTGCAACCGTTCCTCAAACTGAGGATCTGACACCACACTTTTTGCCTTTCCGACATCATTCATAGAGCTCAAACGAGGTGCTTCTGCACGAAAATGAGCCTTATATGATATATGCAACAAGATCTGTTACTCAGACATCACTTTAAACAAGAGATAACAAAAGAAATCTTTAAGAGACCACTTAGTATGATAACAGAAAAACGTGATCACACATTTTGGATTGGAAATAAGCTTCAGAAGAACATGATCACACATTTTGGATTGGAAATAAACTTCCAAAGCATAACATTTTTAGCCAGAAGTATCAAATTTATACTCCGGAAGAATGTGCAAAGAGGCAATTAAAAGATACGCTAATCATTTTTAAATAATTTTGACAAGTGGAAGGACGATGAAGGAATCAAAAGATAAGTTCGAAAGGGGAAACCACAAAAAAAAATGTTAGAGCGTTGCTAATCCAACTGGCAAGAGAAACATCAGAATAATTGATTGCAGAGTTTATTAACTGTTCAGTATGAGAAAAAATTGGATCCAGCGCTAAACAGTAATCTATTAACACGTTCCAGGTATGGCCAAAGGGTAACGATTCAACCAAGAGTTGGAAACATATTCAGCAGTTGTGAACTCGAGCAATACATCACAATTTAAACCCAAATGATTGTTATTCTTTATATTGTCAGTATTGCAGAACAAAAAAAAATTCCTCGTGCCTTGTTTTATTTTATTTTTTTCAAAAATAAAAGTTGAGGCACGCCTTGTTTTAGGTTTAAAAGTTTCCAATGTATAATATTTGTTTAAAGCTAATATTCTGATGCATCCTATAATTTATACATCTAATTAAACAAAAGTTTTCTATTTCTCTAAATTATTAATCGGTAAACCATAGGTACAAACAAAAAAGATACGCAACTACACACTGCAGAACATGCAAGGTAGGCTGTTTACTAACGATTAAGGAGGTCATCGGACTGTGGAGTGGATGAATTCCTGCAAAAGTAAACAATAGCTTTAGATAATAATTGCAATAAGCTGACTTACAATAGTCTCTCTCTATATATATATGTGTGTGTTGTGTATAATTTGTGTCTTCTTTTTTTTGAGAATGAAATAATGACAAAGAGAAAAGGTTGCTGACTTCAAAGCACTATTTAGATCAACATGTAATTCTAGACAACACCAAGGCACAAGTTCAATAGAACAAATACAAATAATTTCTAAAGCACTAGAAGGAGATGAGATAACTGAAAAAATATGAATCTTCTCCATTATGTCATGGTATCATTCAAATTAAATTAATATCTCTGACATCAAATGACCTTTCTATATCGCCTCTTAGGTTAGGTCTTCACGTACATACTGGTGTACCATCTCTTATTTGCAGATGATACTTTGGTGTTCTGTGATGCATATCACAGATGTTTCTCATACTTGAGGCAGATCCTCATCTGGCTCCAGGTTGTGTTATGCCTCAACATCAACCTCAGAAAATGTGAGATCATACTGGTTGGTAGGGTGGATAATTGGTGCATTACCTACAACCTCCTGGTCTACCTTTGGATGCTTCAAACAGAGATCTGCTCGTGTGGAATCCAGTGATTGAGAGGGTTGAGAAGCGGTTAGCAGGCTGGCGAAAGAGGTACTTGTCCAAATGAGGTACTTTGTACTCATAAAAGGTACTCTGTCTAGCATACCCACTTATTTCATGTTGTTACGCCAGACTCCAAGTTTCAGTTACTGAAACGTTGGAAAGACTTCAGTGGATCTTCCTACGGGATGCAACAGGCGAAACAAGGAAGTTTCCTTTCATCTAGTAAACTGAAATGTTGTTACGACTCTGAAGAAATGGGAGGACTTAGAGTGAAGAATCAAAGGGTCTTCAATAAAGCTCTATTAGGCAAGTGGATTTGGAGGTTTAGGATAGAGGAGAATGCCCTATGGAGGGGGTAATAGCAGAAAATTGTGGGATTATAGAAGGGAGTGGAGAATAGAAACGTCATTACTGTCTGGGTGCGGCTATTAAGTGCATATTCTCTTCCCTAAAACCTTCCATCCTCCTCCATAAACATCCACACTGATACACTCACAATATCATGTCAGATTACTCAAACTTTTGCATCCATGGAAGTCTATTCTCTTTGCATTACAACACTATAGGTGCCATATCCAGTGTGGTGCTTTTTTCCATATATTAGTTTCAGAATATCCAAAGGTGTGAAACCATAATGAGTAGAGGTGTTAAACAGGGACGAGGTAGACCTAAAATTACATGGAAAGAATTTGTCTCAAATGACCTATAATTTCTTGGAAGCAATGCGACTTGGTGGCAGATAGGGCACAATGTGTGTGTGTGTAGGCAACACTAATTAGTTGCATATATGTTTTAAACATGTTATTATGTTTACTTTAGGTCATATGCTTTCTTGGGGGGAGGGGTGGGGCGGGGGGCTTCTTTTAGCCCTGTCATACAGTGTTATCAAAGGCGAAAAGTGCAAAAAAGCTCTAAGGTCTGTTGGGGCTTTAAGTGCAAAGCGAAAATACAACGTGGGTTTAATGAAGAAAGGCACAAATGGAGAAAAACTACAAATATGCATGTATAGTCCAAGACTAATATCTATAAGCATGAATACCAAATATATGGACAAAGAAATTGAAGAAAATTTATAAAGAGAAATATCAATTGTTTAGCGTCGCCTCTTTAGGATTACGCTCGCTGACAAGGAAAAGTTTGCCTTAGAGCCTTGATAATAATTCTGAAGCGCCCCCTAAGCGAGGTGAAGCGCTCAACATGTTTTGAGCCTCGCTTCAAAGCTTAAGCGCGCCTTTGATAACACTGCTGTCATAGATTTTTATGCAAGTAGAAGATCTAGAGAACTCTTAGCACTTTTTATTATTTATTATTTTGTATAAAGTTGGCCCGAGATGAATTTAAATGGAGAAATGGTAGATACCTATAACTGACTGCAACTTGTTTAAGACAAGCATAGTTGTTGTTCTAGTTGTTTTGATAAGTAATGATCAGGTGCATGTCAAATCCCTTTCCTTTTACCATTTTTTCCATTATTTGACATGCAAGGAAATTTTATTAAAGAGGAACCCATATATGGAAGAAGAGTAGACTCCTAAACCAAAGGACTTACTATATCCGAAGAAACATCGCCCTCCAACCTCGTTGCAGATAAAGCAACATCATGAAAAAGACCTAGTGCTTTACATGCAGAGAAGATTATCACACATATTGAACCGAGAAACAAATCTTTCAATGTCCTCGTGTTACTCTCCATCCAAATACATCATACAACAGTAGTCAGTAAGTGAAGCTCATTTCAGAAAATTTCACCAAACTTTTGGACAAAAGTTCCAATGTTTGACCATTAAAAACTCGCTTAGTAAGAAAGACGAGTCATCATACATCTCAACTGAATTTAGTCCTCTGGCAAAAGTGCAAAGCAGAAATAATTGACTTTGGACCTCACTGTTCTTCTTGCATATGATGCATGAATCTGAAAATATAGATTTAAAAGGTTTTCTCTGTTGTAACAGGTTGGTGTTGTAAGGTCTCCCAAGTTACTTAATTTTAGACGGAACTTCACTTTCAAGGAAAAAGATACCAAAGGAAAGCTCGTGAGTGGTTGCATATAAGTGAGCTAGGAGAAAAGGATTTACGAGTGAAAAACGTAGAGGAATCTATCCATCTCTGAGTATCTGAAATCTGGAAAGAATGATGTTACTGATAAGAGAAGCTAATAGAGTTGTGAGATTATTTGATAATCTATCATTCAAATAGCGGAAAAAGTGGAAGTTCCAAGAAAGAGAATTATCTCCCAGTGTCACAATGATGATATCGTTTGTGGAGAGCAAAAGCAATAAAGTCTTATCCCAAATTGAGTCAACGTCCCATTACCAACTTTTCAAGAATCAAGAACGATATACGAAGGAAAACCCTGCAAAGTGGATTTCCACGGACACGAAACCCATCCCATTTGTCTTTTAACAAATTGGAGGAATGCACTCCTTAGAACCATTTCATACATATTTTTTTAGCTTGATTTTTGTTGTCATATAAAGAAACACCAACTATTGCCATATTTCTTGATCATTCATCAGCTTAATATTGCAAGAGTCGCTAAAAACGAAATAATTCAGCAAGATACAACTGTTAAACCATTTGCAGTGAATCAGCATATTTTGCATACCACTTACAAGTTGCCCCGAGAACCTGTGACGACCCGGCCAGTCGTCTCATGAGTTACCGCTCCGTTTTCCCTATTTCTGCTTCTTTATGCTTCGTTATCCGTTTTTTGTAGTATCGGGTTGGTCGGATCGAATCCGGAATGATTTTGGTAAGGTTTGAGACACTTAGTTTCTTTAGAGTGATTTTAAGTCGGAAAAGTCAACCGGAAGTTGATGTATGTTTTAGAGGGCTCGGATGTGAGTTCCGATGGTTCGGTTAGCTTCGGGAGGTGATTTGTGGCTTAGGAGAGCGATCGGAATGAATTTTGGAGGTCCGTAGTAGATTTAGGCTTGAATTGGCGAAGTTGATATTTTGGCGATTTCCGGTTGACAGGTGATATTTTGATATAGGGGTCGGAATGGAATTCCGAGAGTTGCAGTAGCTTCGTTATGTCATTTGGGATGTGTGTGCAAAATTTCAGGTCATTCGGACGTGGTTTGGTTCGATTTTTGATCAAAAGCGTATTTTGGAAGATTTTAGAAATTTAGGCTTGAATCCGATGTGTTTTGAGTGATTTGATGTTGTTTGAGGTGTTTTGATGATTGGAACAAGTTTGAATAAGGTTTTAGGATATGTTGGTGCCTTTGGTTGAGGTCCCGAGGGCCTCAGGTGAGTTCCGGATGGTCAATCGGATCATTTGAAGTTGGAAAAGATTGCAGAAAATACTTTTCAGCTATTGCAGGGATTTTACCCTTCGCATTCGCGAAGAGGCAGTTGAGGAAGGCAAGAATTAAGCCTTCGCGTTCGCGGAGGGCTGGCAAGTGGTGCATCGCGTTCGCGAGAAGGTCTTCGCGATCGCGTAGAGGAAATTGGGTCAGATGGGTTCGAGGTCCAGTGTTCATCGCGTTCGCGTATGAGTGCGCGCGCTCGCGAAGGTTAAAGTGGACGAAGCATCGCGTTCGCGATGGTCATTACGCGTTCGCATAGAGGAAAAGTTGGTCAACGCGAGTTTGTGCTTCGCGAACGCGTGGGTTTGACCGCGTTCGCGAAGAAGGAAATATAGGTCTGGGCAGGATGTTTTTAAGTCGTCTTCTTCGCGATTTTGGGGCTTATTTCACCCATAGTTGCTCGTTTTTGGAGATTTTTGAAGGAAATTGAAGAGGGATTCAAGGGAAATCGTTGGGAGGTAAGATTCTTGGACTAAAAACTCGATTATTATGTGAATTCCACCTAGAAAATCATGAAAGCTAAGCCTAAAATTGAAGAACTAGGGCTTGAGAAATTGGACTTTTGATTGGGGATTTGGAGGACCATTTGGGGTCGGATTTGAGAACTTTTGATATGTATGAACTCGTGGGGAGATAAGGAATCTAATGATGTGAAAATTTCTGAGTTTTGAGAAGTGGGCCCGGGGCTCGGGTTTTGCTAATTTCGGGATTTGTGCCCTTTATTGATTGTTTTCGCTTGGGCTTTGTTCCCTTGGCATATTTTGACGTCCTCATTTTGATTTTGGATAGATTCGACGCGTGGAGGTCGATTCGAGGGGCAAAGCCTAAAATGATGTTCTGAGGGTTTGAAACCCCGGATTGCACATCGTAGTGCTATATTGAGGTGAGACACACGCTTGATGGCGAGCGTGAGGTCATGCACTTGGCGATTGTGACTCGGTACTTCCCGATTGATGATTTTACCGCGTATTTGATTGAAAACTATTTGCTATCATCATTAATTGGGTTGAATGCCATATTTGGGCCTAGAGCCAACTCTTTGAACCCTTCGGGGCTATTTATTGATTTTCCTCACTGTTTTGACTTATTACTTGAGCTAAGTCATGTTATTTCCCACTGTTTTCATACTCAGCCA